GTCGTCGGTTACTTTAAAAAGAGGGACAGTTTTGAAGTCAGTAATCAGTTTTTTATTTTTGAGGTCTACTATGCAATTATAATGTTCTAGAAAATCAGAGCCAAGGAGTCCGTCAAATTCTATATCCAAGTTGTGAATGTAAATTTTGTGTGGGTCTTCAGGTTTGAATGGAATTAAAGTTGATTCGTTCATAATTATTTTCTGGTCGGTTATGCCTTGAATGGAAATATTTTCTGGAGAACGTTTTCGGTATTTTTCGCAAGTCTTTGGTTTAAAAATCGAAAGTCCTGCACCAGTATCTATTAGAATTTTGAAGGTATTAGTGATGTCTTTGATGTAGTATAAGTTTTTCGAATTAACAGGCAATAGAGGTTTTAAATGAACCGTTGTTCCAGGAAATTCACATTCGGATCGAAACTGTCTAGGTCTAGGTTCATTGTTTGGATTTGGGCTTGAAGTTCGTCCATAGTATTCTGTTGTGGTTTGTTCGATGGGTCGCCAGGATTCAGCCCTGACTGAAAATCCTGAATATCCGAATTTTGGGGTAGATTGTCATAGTCCGGGTACTGTGTCGAAAATTGATCATATTCGAATTGTCTTTCAGCGGTATGATAATCGAATTGTTGGATTCTGCTATCAGCAGTATGATAGACTTGATCGTAATTTTGATTTTCACTAGCTGTATAGTGATCATCTTGATAAAAATCATTCTCATAATATTGGTCATATTGTTGATAATTCAAATGGTGTGTCTGTTGATTATTTGGTCTGTTAAAATTTGGATTCGATTGAATGGTAGGTTGTCTTTGATTGTTGAAGTTCGGGTTAGGTCTTATGATAGATGGTCGGTTTTGTTGAAATTGATTGGGTGGTTGATATTGATTGAATTGAGGAGGTCGCTGTACTGGATTTGGGGTTTGAAATGGTCTTGAGGGTCCAGCTTGATCGAAATTTTGTTGGTTCAGTCTTGGAGGGTATTGTGGTCTATTTTGAAAATTCTGTTTTGCGCGGCATTCATGAATCAAATGTCCGGTACGTCCACAATATGAACACTGTTTTATTTGTTGAGATGAAATTGGTTTTCGAACAGAAACTGCATTCGGATTCCGATAGCTTTGTGAGTTAGGCAATTTTTGATTTTCGAAATAACTCAACTGCATTTCTCGTCTGATACGAGTAATTGCGGTTAACATATCGGTTGGGGTGCCTGCTCGAATTATTTGACCAAGTTTTGGATCTAATCCAGTCAACATGGTGTTCAAACTCATAGTTTCTATAAGCCTGGACTGCGCGCCTCTTCGGTCTGGTGGTAAAATTTGTTTATTTACAGCGGCGTGCATTTTGGCATTATGCGTTTGCAATCGTTGAACGAATGTCATTGCATTTTCGCCGGGAAGTTGACGAAGTCTTTGGAGATCTCGAATTAATGAAGTCAAGTCTCTGGAATCGCCAAAGTGGGTATCTAAAAGATGTCTAACTTCTTCCCAAGTAAGTGGGTTTCTCGAATTCACTAGCTCTGCAGCACGTCCACGTAATTTATTTTTTATGTGAAGTGTTACTAGTAGTCGTTGTTCGTCGACTGCCATTCTGTAAGCGGTATTAGAGGCTTGTAAAAAGGTGGTTAAAAATATTGGATTGCCATCATATTCCGGTATGATGGAAAATATTTCATTGAGTCTGTATGGCTCAATTTCTGCAGGTGGTCGTGGTGGTGCCACGTTTACGTTATCGTCATTCATTGCAATTGGTTTTTGTTGAAATGTGACAAAAAAGGGGAAACAATTGGATAATGGAACAGTTACTTGGTTGTTTCAAATTTGAAATGCGGTACGATTCAATATAGTACTTACAGGATCAGTATCATTGAGTTCGTCGTGTTCTCGTCGATTCTGCCAGGGGCTTCACCAGGTGTTCCTTCCACAGCTCTTCGAGTGATGACTCCCTCAGGTTGGTTCTTTGATTTCGGCAAAGGATTGGGATCCACCGTCACTAGTTAGGTCGTTTCCGTGTTCTAGCAACGTCACGAAATCCGTACGACTGCGCCAATTTGTTATCTCGTGGTTTTCGAAATAGACTTTTTAAAAACAATTTTATTTATTCCGGCATAGATTAAGTTTATACAATGAGCTTTATTTCAAGACTGACTTTTTGATACAATATAAAATGAATTTATATCAAAAATAATGCTGATGCCAGCGTCAGCAGATATTGTATTCCATTTCTGCGGATGCTGACTTCAAGGTCAAGATCATGTTCTGAGGAATTGTTATCGCTGGTAAGTTGATACTACTGAGAACAATGGGAACTGATTTTAGCATATAACATGTATAAACTAGCGAGAGTCAAAATATTACTGGATTGAAAAATTTGTTTGCAAGTTTCTCTACAAGGAATGTTGAAAATGCACCTCATAATTGCCTTTTGAGCAATGAAAACATCTTTTGACTTGGTAGAGATGCCCCACAAGCAGATGCCATAACGAAGGCGCGATTCAATTTGTGCATAATAGATATTTACGAGCTGGCCAACATCTAGTACTGTTTTTAAGTTCTTGAACATGTAATAGGATGAGTGTAATTTTGAGATTAGCCCCTCACAGTGTGACACCCAGTTGACGTGTTTATCGAAGTAAATTCCAAGAAATTTAACTGTATCTTTATCGGACAAGACTGTTTTATTGAAATCCAGTTGAAATTCAACTGATGGCTGTTTATAGTTATGAAAACGAATAACTTGGGTTTTCTTACCGTTGGAATATAGATCGTGGTTATTGAAAAACTTACAAGCGGCGGCTAGTAATTTCTCGGTTTCTTGTTTCAATAAAAATGTATCAGTTGATGACTTCAAGATGGATATATCGTCCGCGTACGCAACGAAATCTGAGTGGAGTATATAAGCTTCAAATCTATTGATGTACAACAAGAACAGAATCGGTCCCAATATGGATCCCTGAGGAACACCCATACATACCGATCCAATTTCTGATGTCACTAGTGATATCGAATCATTATGTTCAAATCTTAAAGCAACACATTGGCTTCGATTCTCAAGAAAAGTTCTCAACCAACTATGAGGCTTTCCTCTAAAACCGTAAGATTCTATAATATCTAGTAGTTTTAGATGATTAACGCAGTCGAAAGCCTTGCTTAAGTCACATAAAACTGCAGCAGGGCATTCGCCATCATTAAGAAAATTGACAAGTGTATTGTAAAATTGCAATAAAGCTGATTGAGTGGACTTACCACTGCGAAAACCATATTGTGTGGACTTTATAATATTATGTTTATTTATGAAATGTAACATTCGGTCCAAAAAAGAATATTCAAAAATCTTTGACAAAGTTTGCGGTACAGTGACAGGTCTAAAGTTTTCGATACTATTCAGTTTTTTATTTTTCTGAATAGGGGTAACCTTCCCCAATTTCAGCTTTGAGGGAAAAATCCCATATTCAAATGACATATTTACTAGGTAAGTTATCGGTTTTATAATTATGTGTAGAACTTTTTTTATCACAAAGGCCGGTATCTCATCCATACCAGAAGATTTTCTATTCTTAATTTTCGATATTAGTAGATTAAAAAGTTCAATTTCACTAAAAGGTTGCAAAAACATAGAGTGAGAGTTGAAGTCATTCAAAGGTACTACAGCTGAGTCATCAGATACTTCAATTTGTGATACAAGCATTTTTGGACTTTCTAGAAAATAAGAATTGAAATTATTAACGATGGCCTGAGGTTGTTCAATTAACTCCCCTTCTTTAGTGATAGCAATATTTGAATGTTCATTAGTTTTATTTGTTATCTCAGATACCACCTTCCATAATGCTTTCGAATTATTCTCAACATTTATTATTTTATTTTGATAGTATATTTTTTTTGTATTCTTAATTAATTTCACATGATCTTTTTTTGCCTTATTATAAACATCTGTTAAAGAGATGTCAACTTTTTTCAAATTGAACAACTGTTTCAATAAGGTACTAGATTCTTTGATGGCTGTACTTATCCATCCTTTGTCGTTTTGTTTAGCATGATACTTCTGTTTTGGGAAACACAGTTCAAAATTATAACATAGGATATTATAAAATTCGTCAAATGCTTCTTCAAAACAATTTACCTGATAGATTCCAGTCCAATTCTCTTTCTGCAATGTTTCTTGAAAACTGTTTATATTTGTTTCGGAAAACAATCTTTTAACTTCACTGGTTGACTGTTTCTTCTCATGAGTGTTATTCGTAGGTTCCAATAAGACTGTGCGATGGTCTGATAATTCATTATCAAAGACAAAGCAAGTATGTGGGTCGCTTGTAAATATCTGGTCTATAATAGTGCAACTATTATTGGTTACTCTTGTAGGCCATCCCACCATTGGCATAATATTAAGACAACACATCAGAGAACATAGTTCATTAAAATTTGAGTTACTGTACAGATCAAAATTAAAATCACCACAAACTGTGAAATGTACACTCGGCTTAAATATGTATTCAATTACAAGTTTCATTTGACTGAAAAAAATATCCACATTCCCAGAAGGAGATCTATAGCAATTTGCAATAATAAATTTACGTTTTTTGATTTCGTATGAGACAGCACATATTTCAAAATCTTGTTCTATGCAATATTTGTTCAGATCAATTTCAGTTACATCAATTTGTTGTTTCACCCAAATGGCAACACCTCCCTTCAGTTTATTTGGTCTACAATAATGGGATCCTAAGTGAAATCCAGGAATTACAATATTTCGTAACATATCTAGCTTGACTCCTATTTCTGTTATGCATAAAAATTGCAAACTGCTGTAACATTGAAATTCAGTAGAAAAATGATCAACTTTGTCAAAATTAAAAGTATTTACATTTAGTAGCAGAATATGAGGGCTGATTAGCGGTGAATTGGGTTTGCTTTCAGGCGATGATATAAAAAACGACTTATATATGAACCATTTGGCCATAAGTCCGGATTCATTGCCGTTTTGAAGTTCCTATCGTATATTCCTACTTTGAATGATGAATATATGGTGGGTTGTTTAGAAGTTAATAGTTCACACGTGACTTCAGGAAAATGCTTCTTTAGTTGATCTTTCAAATCTTGCTGAGTTGTCACAGGATCCACTCTGCAAACGTGCAAGAACACATATTTGGGAACACCTTTAATCTTGTCGTCTGTATTATTTCCAACTATACTATTTCTTCGCGGCTTCTTCCTCGTATGGACTGTTTTCCATTCTTCTTCTTTATTGATATTAATATATTTTTCCATAGTTGATTTAGTGTTCACTTCATTGAGGGCACTCGAGAGAGTGTTCGGTGTAATGCCAGATGTTTGAGATGAACTGGCAACACTGTAAAACTGCTGTGGTGTGTCCTCAGGAATTCTAGTCATCGCACGTGTTTTTGTCTTGTTCTGATTGTTGATGGAATTCCCAATGTTTTTGTCAGGAATGGGTACGATTTTTTTAGAAACCTTATCTTCGTCTTTTTTGTTGGCACTGGGTTTGTTGTGAATGGAATTCTCATCAATATGGATGGCGGAATTAATTTTATTCAGCAATTCTATTTGTGCATTCAATATTCTTATTTTGTCTTGTAGTTCATTAATCAAACAATCTTTCTGTTTTATTATATATATAAACATTTTTGAGTGCAACTTGCCGGTGCTAGTGATGTCTTCCATGGCATCGAAGAAGTCCGATTCGGGCATATCACATTGTTCGCATTTGAAATCACTTACATCAGTGTTTTCTTCCAAGTTTGCACATTTATAGTGTAAAACTATTTGACACACACAACATTTTACACCTTTCACGAATTTTTGGTTACATTTTGAACACTTATGTTGACTGTTTTGCACGAGCTCAGTGAATACGTTGCTACCTGCCGCCATCGCGTTAGACAATCATAATATGATTAAATAATATGATTTGATAGAAAACTTAACCCTATGCATTTCAATGAAAATGCACGGCACTGTCTAGAATTATGTTTTTCTTTGAAGAATTGGTTATATTGATGATTAATTATACCGATACAAATGTGGTATTGATCACACGACTGATAGCTGACATATTGAGGGGGGGCCATTTGAAGTGAGACACGCTGTAAATGCAAAATATTTTTCTTCAAAAGTTTTGCTGCATGCTTATGGTTTGACACTTTTCAGTGTCATACTGATGTTGGCATATGGATGAGTGATTTGAGTCTACAAATGAGTTACAGGATGTTTCCATCAATTGATCTTGAATCTACCATTTTCATGTTCAGTTTTCAGTAGTAAATACCATGAGCTTTCTATATCAACTGAACAGGAAGCAATGCTATTGTCTCCGTTTAGAAAAATGCAAGCGGATTTCTTGATTTTTGTTTTTTTGGTTGTTATCTTCCTCCCCTATGATTTTGATATCATTCTACTCTGCCATTTGTTGTCCATCTTCAGTAAGGATATGTTCAGTTAGCTTCGATTTATCGATATGTCTTTTCTTGATATCGTACTTGTGCTCTTTAGTCCTTACTGAGAGAGGTCTTTTCGTTTCACCTGTATAATACTTTCCACAAACACAAGGTATACTATAAATACAATATTTTGATGATTGTTCTTCATCATTTGGATTTGTTTGAGTTAGAATGGATCTCATTGTATGTTCAGTTTTGAACACAGTTTTCACTTGGAACTTATCACCAACACGTTTAATTTTTTCAGATATGCCGGGAATGTACGGTTCATAAAAAGTGGCATTTCATAACCTGCCAACAGAGATGGAATGCCAAACTTTTTTACTGTCACAGGAAAAAATATAATATTATCACAGAGAAACAGCATGGCTTCCGCAGTAACCGATCGACTAATACAGCGACAATTTTTTTTCCGAGTTAGTGGTGGAATTTCTGGAGGCGGGCGATTGTCCAGGGATATTTTGTGATCTCAGCAGGGCATTCGACTGCGTAAATCATTCTGTACTCATGTCAAAATTATATTCATATGGTATAAAGGGGGTTGCATATGACTGGATTCCTTAATTTTTGGGAAATAGGAAATAATATGTATCAGTATCCTATAGCAATGAGAGCACTTGTAGCAGACATAGCTCAGAAATCATTGATATATCCATGGGCGTGCCACAAGGATCTGTACTGGATCATGTACTGTTTTAATTGTATACTAATGAATTGGAAACCTTCTTAACTTCTTCAGATTTGACAATGTACGCGGACGTTGCGTCTCTGATAGTATCTGAAAAAAATGACAGCTTACTTGAAGTCAAAAGTAAGAACACCCTCTTGTCAATTATCGACTGGTGTGGGATCAATTGTCTACACCTCAATACAGGGGAAACACAAATGGTACGATTCCACAATCGACAGAAACAATGTTTCTCTGTACAAAATAATATCAAAGATGAAGAGATTCGGAGTGCATCTGAGAGCAAGGTATCGGCATCGATGCAAACCTGAATTGGAAAAAACACTGCTCTGACTTGATAGGTGAAATCAACTCAATTTGTTATCTCTTGAGAAATCTAAGAGACATTTTAACTGAACATCAACTCCTTGCTCTGTATCATGCTCAAATTGTTTCCAGGTTGAGATATGGTATATGTTTGTGGGGTAACTCTACGGCGGTGCCGGACATATTCACAGCACAGAACCGTAGTGTGAGAGTGATAGCTAGAGTTCCTGGAAATTTTTCCTGTAAAAACTTATTTAAAGATTTGAACATTCTGACTCTATTCTCAATGTATATATCCGAAATGTCAGTTTATATTTCCAAAAATAAACAAAGATTCATCATCAATGAGGAAATTCACAAAATCAACACTCTTCAGAAACATGACTTTCACGTTCCTCATATAGAAAATATAAAATCTCAGAAGATATGCCATCTGTGATGGGACTCACCGAAGAGTATAACACTGAGAACAAATTTTAATTAATTTTCTCGATTGCTGAAAATATATTTATTGGATAAATGTTACTATGACCTTGAAGAATTCTTCGACTGATAGATAGGTTTATTTTCTCCTTTATTCTCTCTGTATATTTTTTCGTTAGCTGTGTTTAGGTAGGTGTGTATGTGAAATTGTGAAGATTTATATACATATTTGTATGTCCATAGAATAATGAATGAATTGGATTGTATTGAATTGAATACAAAAATTCAATATGACGTCCATAAGAAAAAAAAAGTTGACCGTCGTTTGTTATTTTCTTCGTGTGTTGAAAAAAGTGTGATATCATTGTCGAATTATTTGCAAGAAACTGATTTGAGAATGTTTTGGTTAAAAATGGCTAACTTGATCGGTTTTCCTATGAAAAACTGAGAAAGATAGGTCAGTGTTTTTTTCAGATTATTGTTCAGCACCAGTATGCGCAACTTTGCCCTGATTTGAGCAACATCGTATCTCTCAAGATAACCGAGGTCCCCTTGCTTGATCTCGAATTACGGGCACTCTGTATATGGGTAGAAAAATGGCTCCGAAGACAGCTACTCCACGGAAGGTAGTTTAATTATCATTGTTTTCAAGACGTTTTGAGATGGAATAATAGAATTTTGTGAGTTCAACTGATTTTTAATACTGAATTACCTATTTGATATTTCAACGACATTTCAAATTGTCATTTATTAGTTTGAGAGCAATCATTTTGTTGTAAGTTTCTTTTTTGCGATTTCACCACATAAACTGGAAATTTTGAGATTTTTCAGTTGAAACGGTTCTCTCATCAATTCTTCAATATCAGAATCAATTCTAAAAAAATAAACATGCCAAAGATAACTCGCTTCTTCTTTTTCGCAATGTTCAATGCAATTCTGTTTCAATTCTTTGAATCAGACGCGATCAGAAATATTTTTTCAAGATTCCACACAGTTTTTATATTCGGTTCGATTCACAATTGTCAATTCCTGTACTGAAATTGCGGAAATAATTGCTCACATTTATTTATTCCTCATGAAAACTAACGAACACAATTTGAATATTTCGTCTCCAACCGTTTATGAAATAATAATAGAAGTACATCTCCAGGGCAGCCTCTTCGAGAGGGGCCATTTTTTGATCAATGTTCATTCGAACTTTATTTCTCAATAATTTGGGTCAAGGAATCTACTGCTTTTTTTTTTTTTTTTTTTTTTTTTTTATCGCTTGGAGCGCACGAAAGGGAATCCCTATAATGTTCAAAGAACATCGTGCGTTCCTTGGGAGGATAGGGACAGGAGGTAGGTATTGGAATTTTTTTTGAACTTTTGGAGATCATATGTTGTTGGGAATACTTCCACAGGCAATGAATTCCAGAGCCTAGCCGTTCTATGGATGAAGGAGTCTTGATGAAGTGCTGTTCGACATCTTTCGAGGTTGACAACGAAAGGATGTGCTGACTGGGCTTGTCTAGTTCGTCTGATTGGTATTGCTAGTGAAGGGATGATAGCAGAGATTTCCGAAGAACATTTCCCGTGGAAGTATCGATAGAAAAGTGAAAGGTCGCCAACCTTTCTACGATGTTCCAATGATGTCAAAGAGTGAGTGAGTGTGGCGTCACCCACCAGGCGAATGGCTCTTCTCTGGATGGAATCTAAGAGCATCAGTGTATGTTTTGGTGCTGAACCCCATATGTGGGAACAGTATTCTAGAACAGGCCGTATCTGCGCTTTGTAGATCATGAGAAGCTGTTGAGGTGTGAAGTAGCTTTTCGCACGGAACAAGAATCCGAGTTTTTGTGAAGCAGCTTTTGCGATGGATCTGACATGATTGTCCCATGAAAGAGTGTTGCTGATGGAAATACCGAGCATAGATATGGTGGGCTTGGAGGGGATGGTGGAGCCAGACATTACAATATCGGGCATACTGAGTTCCGCCTTTCTAGAGAAAATGCAGGCTTGAGTTTTGGTGGCGTTGAATTCAACTAGGTTGTTTGTTCCCCAGGCTGTGATTTCAGCAAGATCTTCATTGACAGCATTGACCTGCCTGCGCCGTGAGTTCTTAGTTTCCTGGGAAGAAATGGGAATTCTAGAAGAGAACGCAGTATGGAGGGTACCATCATCTGCAAAGCTGTGGATGGGGCAAGTTGTTACTCCCAACAGATCATTGATATGAAGCAGGAATAATGTTGGTGCCAAAATTGATCCTTGTGGAACGCCGGAATTGATGCCAAAGGTATCAGACGATACACCGTCCACCACCACGTGAAGCGATCTGCCTGAAAGAAAACTCGATAAGAGGTGGCATAGCTGAGGTGGTAAGCCGTATGATGGTAGTTTGTGGAGGAGTCCTTCGTGCCAAACACGGTCGAATGCTTTCGAAATGTCCAACGCGACAGCTAGAGATTCCCCGTGTTTTTCTATTGAAGATTGCCATAAATGGGTGACGTAGGCAAGTAGATCTCCAGTAGATCTTCGGTGGCGAAAGCCGTATTGTCTATCATTGATGATTCCTGAGCTCTCCAGATATTTGATAAGCTCAATATTGATGGCTTTCTCCATCACTTTGGAGATTACTGATAACAGGGCAATGGGCCTGTAGTTGTTGGGCAGGTTCTTGTTCCCTTTTTTGGGGATTGGTTGGACTCTAGCTGTCTTCCAGCATGATGGAAAAATACCCGACCTGTACGAGATGGTAAACAACTTGCAGAGAATCGGTGTTAATTCTGGTGCACATTTTTTGAGGATAATGGGTGGAATTCCATCAGGACCGTTAGCCTTATTTGTTTTGAGAC